TTTTTACCTCTGAAAGTGAAAGGGGCTTTCTTTTAAAGGCACAATAATAGATTATGTACTTTTGATCATAGACAAAACTACATAGACAAAATAGTATACTAAAAGAGAGACAAACATATTCTGGGAATCAGACAAACCAAGTTAAGATTGCTCCACCAGAATCCATAGACATATGGTGCAAATATTTAGATACAAGCCTAAGTGATGCAGAGTTGACAGACACAATTATGAATTTATGCAGTTTGTGCTTTTTGGCAAAGTAATATTGCAATGTTTTGTCATCCGTTGCTTTCCAGTTATTGTCTCATGCATTTTAAGTGATTTGATTTGTGAAGATTTTACTTGAGAAGTATTTTCATTTGGATTGTAACCAATCTTGATGGTTTCTTCGGAATAAAGAGAGGTCGTAAATGCTTTAAATAAAGAATAGGTCTGTGGATGAGGAGATTGTTTGTGGCTTAGGAATTCGTATTTTCAAAAGCTGAGGTTGCTTGTGTGGTGATAGAATATATTGTGTAACCAGCCATTAGCTTACAAAGGATACCAGATGTGATTTTGTATCCAACAGATGTGATTTTGTATGTCATGACAGAGCTTGAATGGAGCTTCACGGGGATAGAAACCGAAGGATAAATTAGTCCTGAATTTTAATATGTGAACATTTTATTCATGCTACAAAAAGTTCTTATCAACATCAAAGATATCAGACAGATTCCGGTTCTCATCCTCACTACACTTAACAGAATAATAAGAATAATAAGAGTTGGAAGGGAGTTTGGAAATCTTCTAGTCCTGCTCAAAACAGGAGATTCTATATAATTTCAGACAAAATGGTTGTCCAATCTCTTCTTAAAACCTCCACTCAAAACTTCTGAAGGCAAGTTGTTCCACTGATTAATTGTTCTCACTGTCCGGAAATTTCTCCTTATTTCTAGGTTTGTTCTCTTGATTAGTTTCCACCCATTGCTTCTTGTCCTGCCCTCAGGTGCTTTGGAGAATAGCTTGACTCCCTCTTCTTGGTGGCAACCCCTCAGATATTGGAAGACTTGCCATCATGTCTCC